TTGTATCACCCGAAAAAACTATAATTTTACAAAAAAAAAACGCTGAGTGACATAATATTCTATGTCATTTCCACAATTATAAGATTTACATAAGATGAATATCTTTAACACAAATGAACAGGTTGGAATAAATGATTCTATGGAATAAATTATGATAGTGTACATCACATATTTGATTATTGCATTTTTAGTTGGTTCGATTACCGACTCAGGTAAGCTTATAATATGAATACAGTTGATCAAAAAGAAACTTATATCATCAATATTTAAGGTTCTTTTCCTCCACATCCCGTTCACCTTATTTGTATGCATACGAACACTCTAATGATATTACTCTTCTTATAAAGAAGTTAGGTGTTTTCAAATTTTAACATAATTGATATTTAAAAATAAAAATTAAAGAGTGCATGTATGAATGTGTATACGCGCAAGAAGTGAAACTTCTGTAGGTTATCGGTATTTTTTATGAAATACAATTTTTATTTTAAATAATTCTGTTAGGAGAGATACAAAAAAAATTTTTATCGATTTAAAAAGGAAAAAAATCTTTTATTATTCACATTGGTGGTACCTACAGGCGGTGTTAGGATAAAAATTTATTTTCAATCAAATGTTGGAATGATTCAATAAAATTAATAATAATACAGAGATTCAATTATTTTTTTTGAAAATAAAAAATATTGTACAAAAAAAATATTTTTTTGCTCGACTTGGCGGGGGCACTGCCGTGCCCCCCGATTTTCTTAAACTATTTTACAATACTCATTTGATATGAGTATAGCAAAAAAGTATTGTTCATTTAAGAATAAATGAAGGAAGTATTTTCTTTTACGAATATCTATTTTTATTTAATTTATTTTTTGAAACATTTATATAATTGTTTAAATATTGTTTAATTGACTATTTATTCACTTCCGTAACAACCGTTTCCGTTATAATAATCGTAACGACAATCCTTTTTCTCTCTCTTATGGCGCGCTTAAATAAGTTTTACTTCAAAATTCTTATCGGAATTTGTCGCGGATTTATTTAGATTTTTGGTTTCCGACGTTTCGAATGCTTTACAGCGCACATGGACACGGGAGAGACTAAGGTTTTACAATACGTTTCAAAAGTTACTATATTATAGACGAAATCTATCCCCAAAATGCGTGTTTCGGGAACAGCGCGTCAAAACGTTCAGTATGTAGAGACCTTTACAATTGTTTATATTATGTTACGGATGTTAATATAATAAAATTTGTTGCCCATCAACCTTGTGATTGTAGAAATATAATAAAATTATAATAAACTGACTTTGCTCAAACTATCCAAAACTAAAAGGCTTATAGCTTTCTGAAAAAAATCACGCCGAAATGTTGGTTCGTTGTTATTGAAAGAAAATAACCTAACATCTTCCTTGTTTATGGTATAGACTAAATGATACATATTTCCAGAATGGTTCTAAATTCTAATCTAATCGATATTTTACCCGACTGCGGCCATTATCAAAGGAGGATTATGTGTTTGACCTGTATGTATGTATGTGAGTATATCTGATCCTATATTCCTTCGTAATTACTAAACTACTTAATCGATTTTAATGGTTCATACGTCATTAGATTAGTTTTGATATCATGAGCCTTTGATATTCTGGCGCCAATTTGGTGTTTTAAAAAAGTTTTTCTCGTCCAAGCCAGCAAGTCCAGTCCAAGCATAGAATATGCGACTTGTCGAGTGGGGTGCGGTATCAAAATGAAGGTGATTACGAAAATATATACAACAAATATACAGAGTAGAACAAATCGATGGGACATGGAAGAAAAGTACCTTAAATGTTGAAGTTATCAAAATTTATTCAAAGGAAACATTTCTTTATTTTTAAAAATAATAATAACTGCATTTTTTTTAAATAAAAAAAAACCTTACCTGATCAAATAAAAATGCAAAAAAAAAACACCGTCACTATTTTATCGAATTAATCGATAGGGCTTATTCCCATAAAATCATAAAATCTCTTGAACAAACACTGCGTCTTAGCATTGAAGAAAACGATGAAATCTTACAAATTATACATATCGACTCGACTCAAACATCGTGGAACAAACGCACAGGACATTTATTTATTTATTTATTAACACTAACAAGAACATAATAATATAATTACAATAAATAATAAATTCTAAGTGCTGTCTTAATTACAGGTGTTACACACATTTCATAAAAGATAGACGCAAATACAAGTAGTGAATTAAAATAAATACAAAAATTATGGGAATATTATATAAATTAAATTGTATATAAATTGAATCAGAAATTAATATTATATGATAATTTAAAACATGCATCATTTTATAATTATACAATCGTTAAACATAACAAAATAAACTCATTAATTTATTGTTCAATGTTGAAACTGACTAAAACTTAGCACTTAAATTATATTAGAAATAAAAAATATACCTTTTGACTATAAATTACAATTATTCGATGAGAATAAATAAAATAAATTACGTTTAAATATCGAGAGATTGAAGAAAAATGTCTTAAACACATATAATATTAAGTTTCACTCAAATGAAACTATTTTATTAAAAAAAAAAATAAGTTTAACTGCATTTAATTTTTTTTTAAAGACGTGACCTGAACCGGTAATGGAACCAACTGAATATACTTGCTAAAAGGTACACCGTCACTATTTTATCGAATTATTGGATAGAGTCTATGGAGTATGGTAAGGATGAAATGTCTTGAAAGATAATTGTATGTTACAATGAATGAAAACGACGAAATTTACAAAGAGCACATATTAATCCTAACTAACATCACAACCTAAGATTATTATCCACGAAGTATTTATAATTTTTTTTTGTCTGTCTGTCTGTATGTCTGTCTGTCTGTGACCGTATCACGGAAAAACTACTGGAGGGATTTTGATGAAATTTGGTATGATGATAGCTGGGTGTCCGGATCAACATATAGGATACTTTTACTGCGGAAAAATATCTCATCTCTGACAAATCTATACTAACCGTTAAAACGTTCCTAGGGACGAATCCGTGCGGAGCGAGGGTGAGTTGCTAGTTTTATTTATAAAAAATATTTTTTCATATAGACATTATCGGTCAGAGTTAGCTCTGCCACTTGCCAGTAGAAAGTCTGCTCCCTGGCAAAGCATTAGAACTCAAGTGGATAGATAATGGTACATTACTGCATCTCAAAAATAACTTTGAACTTTGAAGCTGTACTTGAGATTTAAGTAACTTACTATTTTTAACCGAATTTTCAGGATAGAATATTTTTTGTGTCTGTTTGTTTATATGGAATCGCTAGTTTTGAACTTATTTGTATGTTTTTTTATATAAATAAATAAATAAAAAATATTTAATTAAACAAAAACATGCGTGTGTACTTATGTAGGTATGTAAAAATTTATACTTCTTTGGCGTAACAGAGCGAAAATAGCTAAAGATTTCATCCCGTATGTCACAACTCTCTGTCTGTAAAAGGAATGATAAATTAATAAAATAATTAAATAAGGCATATTAGGCATATTACACTCATATATTTATAGAATATCGTATACGGAAAGAGTATAATATTATATATCATTTGTCAGACAATAACAACGGTTTCCATGGCAACAGATAGTTATCAGCTAACTTCATCATGTCGCTTTTTGGCTGTCGGTGTGCGCGCGCATTGTAAAAATTTTACTCTCATATTTTTTTCGAAACGTGCCAAAAGAAGTATAACTTCAAAAAACTTTTATTGTAACTGGGCGAACAATTATAGTTGAATTAAAATTTGATGGGTGCTTATCTTTTCATACTAAATAGCGGGGATGTTATAAATACGAAATTTCGGATTCTGGATACGGGTACGGATATATGAATAACATACCGGTTTCAGATACGGTTACGTATATGAAATTATTTCGGATTATCCGATAGTTTCGGATAGTTTCAGGTTTTTAAATAATTGTAAAAGAATAAATAGCTATGTAATGAATTGACTTTATTTGTAGGTTGTCATTTACTAAAATATGACTAATTAATATAGCTAATAGTAGGGGAGCCCAAGAGGGGATTTTCTGTAGTTACTCGAGCGCGGCAGATTGACATAAAAGAGGTTACCTTGCACTCTATTCAGTACTTTCACCACAATATAAGTCTTCTATATAAAGGGGCGCGTCTAGGGAAGCCGATTAAAATATTTAAAAAATGTTTTGATAAGGTAAAAATACTTGAAACCGTCAGATTAAGGTGTGGTAGGCTAGTCACATCCTGAAAAGTGTCCAATTTAATAATCTGCCGATTTGCACAAGCCTAAGAGGCAAAAATCATCATAATCTTTATAGTCGATTTTTGCCTCTTCGGCTTGTGCAAATCGGCAGATTATTGAATTGGACACTTTTCAGGATGTGGCTAGCCTACCACACCTTAATCTGACGGTTTCAAGTATTTCTACCTTGTCAAAACTTTTTTTAAATATTTTAATCGGCTTCCCTAGACGCGCCCCTTTATATAGAAGACTTATATTGTGGTGAAAGTACTGAATAGAGTGCAAGGTAACCTCTTTTATGTTAATCTGCCGCGCTCGAGTAACTACAGAAAATCCCCTCTTGGGCTCCCCTACTATAAGCAAAAGAAATAACAAAACTAAAAAGTCGGTTCGGCCGGACTAAAACCTGACATAACGTGTCTCATTTCGACTACGTCCCTATCCGAAATTATTCGAAACTTTAATACCAGATTCGGTTACGGTTTCGGTAACATTTTTATTTCAGATATCCGATAGTTTCTATTACGTCTTACGGTTACAGAGCTCCATAACATCCCTAGTCCCTACTATATGATAACATCCAAAGTAAAAAAAATACTTTTTTAATTTGCGAGAGGACATCATATACAAATATAAAAGTGCAAAGATTTACGTAGCACAAGAAAATAGGTATAAATTATAGAAAAGCTTAATATTTTTTTAGGTTTTAACACATATTTTTTGTTGTTTTAGGTAAAATGTCGAGTTATGGGAGTACTTCACCATCAGACGAAGGCTTCGACCGATACGAGCCACCCTTCTACTGTCCACCTTCACATCAAGGTGCAAAAATAAAAATTAACTTTTTGTCGGTATATATTTTCCTACTAGCCGTTTAAAATGGCATAGTTATTAAATGGTAGTGTGCTTGGTTGGAAAATTAAGTGATGCGGGTTCAAACCCCGGGTGTCTCACCTGATATTCTCATCGGCGAATCATTTTCAACATGAATATCACGTTACGGTGAAGAAAAACATCGTGAGGAAATCTGCATGTCTGAGAGAACCTAGTAAGTTTTCAAATGACATGAGAATTCCGCCAACCTGTACTTGGCCAGCGTGGTGGGCTATGGCTTGATCTCCCTAACATTGTGGGGAGGCCCACCCCAAGCAGTGGGACGTTAAAAAGGGCTGAACGAAGTGAGATGAGAGTGACTGTTTCCGTAACTAACGACAGCAGTATACAGTATATTACTTAATAGTAACAGTTCTAATTTCTTTTTCATCTTCGCGGATACTTGAATTATATATTTGCCTAGCGATTTGCCCTTGCATCGTTCAGAACATCAAAACAGATAGACAGACAAAAAAATAAGAACTGTTTTTTTTTCTTATAAGTACTGTATATAATTTCATATGTATTTAGTAAAAAGCTGTTATTTTGACATTACACACAGACACTACAATTTTATTTATTTAATATGTATAGATGTAGATAATATGGGAGAAGTTATATGAGCAACTTGTCGATAGGGAACTATCGCACCGCCAATACATTTATTTATGTATGTAACAGGTAGTCCATTGGACGGTGGAGTGTATTGGCCGGCGGGCGAGGGTCACGAGTTCGATGCTCAGGACATGTATCACGACACCAACAACTACATAGGCAGAAATTATGGTAAGGTGATAAAATCTAGCTTAAGTTACTCCTAATAACATCAACTATCTGCCCGTGACAGTCCCATCGAAATCAGTCCATCCGTTTCGGAGATTAGCCGGAACAAACAGACAGATAGATAAACAAGAAGATGGACAGTCAAAATATTAAAAATTGTGTTTTTCGTATAAGTACCTTAAACAATTTCATATGCATTTAGAAAAAAGCTGTTATTTTAACATTACAAATAGACATTTAATTTTATTTATCATTTAATTTTATTTATCTGTATAGATTATGAGTTATGTTAAAACGAGAAGATCCCACACACTAGGCGACTGCGACCAAGACCATAGTACTAGTGATCATGTGACATGGTCTTGTGTATGGCTGGAGGTCCAGGGGTTCTGGGTTCGAGTCTTAGGTAGAGTCGAGTATAGCTATTGGGATTTTCTGTCAAGATATCCTCAGTAATAGCTCGGAATTGAAGGAGAAATTGGCGGTGTTTCACTTTTGCGTCTGATTTCGCACCGCTCGTTATGACTGGTCATCCCACCGGAGATTGGAAATGGAAGGAATATAGTTATCATACTGCATTTATGTTTTGCGCTCACATACCTACTTGTGTTTTTGTAAGATATTTGAGATATGGCCACCGTGGCTGAAATACGCCATAACTGTACTTGTCCGACCTGTAACTCGAACCCAGGACCTTCGGATCTGCAGCCATAATTGCTAGCTACTAGACCACCAAAATCATATACATATAATAAAATTGTATCTAAGCCGAATCTGTACATTAAATATTTTTTGGAAAATCTTATTCATTTTACAACGATACACATTACTATCGATACAGAGGCCGAAACTATAGTTTTAAAAATGTTTGTCTGTCTATGACCTTATCACGGAAAAACCACTGCAGGGTTTTTGATGAAATTTGGTATGATGACAGCTGGTTATCAGGGTCAACATATAGGATACTTTTTACTGCGGGAAAATATCTCATCTCTGAGAAATCTATACTAAACGTTAAAACGTAACTAGGGGCGAACCCGAGCGGAGTGAAGGTGTGTCGCTAGTAAATAAATATAAGTTGATCATTGATAGCTACGGTCGTGGTCGTCTAGTGAATAGGAGCTTTATAATTTATATGCTTATTATAATAACTTCCACTTGTACAAATACAGGTGTTGATTAACATAATAGGCTTTTGTAAATAATAAAAAAAAAACAATTTCTTTATTTCAGCTTGTTTTTGCGCTCAGTTCTTTTGGAATTTACACATTTTGATGATACATACTTTTACCATAAAATAAAGAATTTATTTCAGAAGTTTTATGTGTAGGTATGCATGCCACTGGCAGATGTATTAATAATATACCAGCGACTTACCCTCGTTACGTTTTAACGTTTAGCTTAGAGATGAGATATTTTCCCGGAGCAAAAAGTATCCTATATGTTGACCCGGTAACCAGCTATCATCATAGCAAATTTCATCAAAATCTGTCCTGTGCTTTTGTCTTGATGCGTTCCCAGACAGATAGACAGACAGACAAACATTCTAAAAACTATAGATTCGGCCTCTATCGATAATAATGACTATTTTAATAAGATTTTGCAAAAATATTGAATGTACAGATTAACTCAGTTTAAATTTTATTATTTGTATAGATTTACAATTGATTTGAAATCCAAGCCATGGTTAACGTAGAAATAAACATTTAAAATCATCCCCTATTTATCGCCTTGAGGGATGTTTTTTTCTTCTCGAAAGCAGAAATAATTTTATGAAGAAAATATTGTGAGTAAATCTCGGAGTTTCAAAGCGAGTAAATCACGTGTATAACAATTAATGTAACCAATCGAAGACTCCCAATTGTCACATAATGAATACGATTGGTAGACTGTATGTTTGTTACTCCTTTTTACCGCAACGACTGGACCGATTTGGATGAAAAGTACAGATATAGGCTATAGAATACGATTTGTACTAATAGATAGGCTACTGTTAGTAATAATATTCGCCCAAAGGTGGCGCTATGTGTGCTATAAACACTAAATGCACCAATGAAAGTACCCGAATAAAGCGAGGGTTGCTAGTAATGAATATTTTGTTACAGGTTATGAAGAAATGCAAATATCAACAAATGAAACCTACGAAGCATACCACAGTAACGTGATGCATCACAGCTATACACAAAATAATCCAGGTAATATTGTACTTATTATGTATACTAATATTATATAGCAAAAAACAAAATAATAATAATAATCTGACAAATTTCGGTCACTGCAGCGAATCTCACTGAAACTAGCTAGCTATAGGAGATATAGTGCAGCGTGCGTACGCGCAGACACAAGTGTACTATCTATTTCTGTCACTCTCATACTCTGGTGGGACGACTGCTCGACACCGGTGAGAGTTAAGGCGCAGGACCGACGGCTTTACGTGCTCTCCGAGGCACGGGGTTGAAACACCACCAACTTCCCAACTCCGGGCTGTTACTGAGAATATTTAGCAGAAAAACTCAGTGATTAAATAGTAACAGCGGAACGGGAATCAACGGTAGACTGCCCGTATTAGCAATCTCTGTCCTTGCCAAATTTTATCGAAATCTGTTAAGAGGTTTAAGCGTGTAAATAACAGATTGACTATCATATCTTTTTTTTCTATTTTATACATTCCATATTATAAAGACGTAAAGCTTGTAAGTTTGTTTGTAGAAAGTGATCTCTGGAACTACTGAACCGATTTAGATGACATTCGGTAAGAAGATAGTTTGAGACATTTAGTCGCTAGTCTAGATAAAGAAATGCTAGTAGGTACAATTAGTATCTATACTAATATTATAAAGAGGCAGAGTTTGTTTGTTTGTTTGTTTGTTTGTTTGTTTGTTTGTTTGTTTGTTTGTTTGTTTGTTTGAACGCGCTAATCTCAGAAACTATTGATCTGATTTGAAAAATTCTTTTTGCCTTCCCGTTTATTGAGGAAGAATATATACTGTATATCATATAATATATAATTAATCGATCTATTTCATAGTTACTGTTAAAACTAGTGACGAGCCCGAGCGAACCGAGGGTGAATCACTAGTAGGTATTTATGACAGTATGTATATATATATATATACATACTGTCATACATACCTACATATATATATATATACATATATATATATATATATATATATATATATATATATATATATATATATATATTATATATATATATATATATATATATATATGTGTGTAACACGTTTGTCCCCAGGCTTAGATTGCGATATGCAAACTTTGCCCCGGTACGATCGACCGCCACCCTCTTTTGTAAGGGTGGTCAAGAGAAGAACGACAGCAAATAAGAAGGAAAGACGTCGAACTCAAAGTATTAACACTGCATTCACTGATCTAAGAGAATGTATACCGAATGTGCCGCCAGATACAAAATTGTCTAAGGTGAGTTCTATATATCAATATGTATTGTATTCAGCCCTTTTTAACATCCCACTGCTGGGGGTGGGCCTCCCTTCAATACAAGGGGGATCAGGCCATAGTCCACCACGCTGGCCAAGAGAGGGTTGGGTTGGTTGGGTTATATTAATATACGGACAATATACGGACTTTTTATTATAAATATGAAATTTTGTATGTGTGTATATTTCTTACTCCATCACGCTGTAACGGCTGGACAGATTTGGATGAAATTAAGTACACAGATAGGTTTTTATGGTTTTTGTGTTTTTTTGTTGATAGATTACCTGGGTTAGTACATAAGCTACTCTCAAAAAAAAAAAATTATTTAGTACCGTATTTATTTTCATATGCATTCAGTAAAAAGCTGTTATTTTAACATTACAAACAGACACTTCAATTTTATTTATCTGTATAGATTTACGTTTAAGCGTAATAAACAATTGAACTGACGATCTGTTCTTTTAAAATGGCTTATAAATTAAAAACTTATTCGTATCTTATCAGGATTTATAGTAAGAATTCTGTAAGATTTCTTCGTTGAATCCCAAATCTGGGACTTTGCGCGTATCACAAGTCGACCCAAAAATAGAACCAATTTTTACGGTTTTCTAATAGTCATTAACTATCTATTTTTTTTTAATATTAGAGAATCCGCCATAAAACACAGGTATTATTCGGTAAAAAGTAATGTAACCTAGGTATATTGTTTTTATTTTTATATTAGTGACTAGCATTGCCCGCGGCTCCGCCCGCGTTCAGATGACTAAAAAGCAAATTCTTAGGAAATTAAAATCAAATTCTAGCAAATTATTCTTACATATAAGTTTACTCTTACTATGCAGTTTTTGTATTTTTCCTCAGAAATGAGATATTTTCCCGCGGTAAAAAGTACTCTATATGTTGATCCGGATAACCAGCTATCACCATACCAAATTTCATCAAAATCCCTCCAGTGGTTTTTGTGTGATGCGGTAACAGACAGACAGACAGACAGACAGACAGACAGACAGACAAAAATTCTAAAAACTATAGATTCGGACTCTGTATCGATAATAATGTCTATTGCAATTAGATTTTCCAAAAAAAAAAATTAATGTACCTACTGATGCAACTCAATTACAATTTTATTATACGAGTATGTATAGACTTCACTTTCCTTCAAGGAAGGTTTAGGAAGCGAGTTAAAATCCCGGGTCTAGCTCTGATATTTTCATATGTGAATCATTTCCAACATGATCACCACTTGTCTTACGGCGAAGGAAAACATCGTGAGAAAATCTGCATGTCTGAGAGAACCTGGCGGTTGTCTGCAGACATGCTCAGTCTGCCCGCACTTGGCCAGCGTGTTGGGCTATGGCCTGATTCCCATCGTATTGAAGGGAGGCCCACCCCCCGCAGTGGGACGTTAAAAAGGGCTGAATATAATACCTTCGCTCTTTCGGATATGTCTCTGAATTCCTAACAGTAGCCTATGTGTTATTCCAGATCATAGTCTGTGTAATAAATTTCATCAAAATCAGTCCAGGCTTTATAGCGTGAAGGAATAACAAACATACAAACTTTCGCATTTATGATAATATACTTTGTCCGATAGTTTTAAAGTTACATCTCTTTTACTTAAGACGGACGGATAGAATACATGAGCTTAGTAAAAACTTTTTTATATATTCTGTGGACTACAAAAGTTTAAAAAAGCAAATTTACTAATTAGTTATTTTAGTTAAAATAAAACTATGTTTTTGGATTTTTTTTGCGGATTTATTTTGATAATAATATATATGTAGTTTTATGTTTTGATAGTATAGCCGAAAAGATAGTTTTATTTAATACTACAGTCAAAATCGCCCCGCTCGGAATATTTGTATAGATTTCTCAGGGATGAGATATTTTCCCGCAGTAAAAAGTATCCTATATGTTGACCCGGATAACTAGTTATCATTATACCAAATTTCATCAAAATCTGTGTAGTAGTTTTCTCGTGACGCTGTCACAGACAGACAGACAGACAAAAATTATGAAGACTATAAATTCGGCCTCTGTATAGATAATAATGACTAAGTATTTTAATAAGTTTTTCCACAAACTTTTAATGTACAAATTCGACTCAGTTAGAATTTTATTATATGTAGGTATAGATGTCAAATATTCGCGTAAATCTAAGAAAGAATTAGTTATTTTAGTGTCAGGTTATTTTAACAGTAATAAACAAACATATATCTGTCTCACTCTAACCTATGTAATTGTCAGATGGTGCGACCGAGATCGCAGAGCATCAATACCGCGTTCTCTAAACTAAGAGATCGCATTCCAAGCGTTCTTCCTGACACTAAGATGACTAAGGTTCGTGAGATTAATTACATTTAAATTCTAACTAATATTATTAATGTGAAAGTCTATTTGTTTGTCCATCTACTTACTGAATCAATAGCTTTTAGCCCGCGACTTTACTCGTGTAGTTTATGTATAATTCCTCTGCTTCTAAGAGCCGTAGTGTGATGTTCAGCTTTTAACCTTCATAAAAGTAACTAACTCTGTCTGTATGTCTGTTAGGTTTCCACACCTAAACCGCTGAGCCAATTTTGATAAATTTTGGTATAAAGGTAGGTGGAACCTTGAAGGACATAGAGAATTTTTGTCCTGAATATTAAACCTGAAAGGGGTGAAATAGGTGTTGAACTTTTGTATGAGAAACCTAACTACAACCTGACTAAACTACCTAAAAGTACACTAATGATAACTATTTTTTTATTTATTTAAAACATGTGACGCTCACGAGCGAAGCGAGTTTTAGTCGCTAGTCTTACTAATGTTATAAATGTGAAAGTTTAGATGGATGTTTGGATGTTTGTTACACAATAACACCAGAACGGCTGAAAGGACCTGTTTAAAGTCACAGAGATAAGTTTTAGTTTGAAATAGCATATAGGATACTTTTTATCTCGGATAGGATAATTTTTTTTTATTTGTTTTTTAGAGGCAAAACCCGAGCGAAGCAAGTATGAGCCTCTAGTAGGCTATAAAATGCTTAAAGAATTTTTGAAATGTGACTTTTAGTATCAGTTTTAGTTAAAAAAACAAACAATCTTTACATAAAACAAAGCGATTGTTCTGATTTTTCAAACAACTTCAAAAAGGAGGAGGTTCTCAATTCGACTGTATTTTTTTTTTTTATGTTTGTTACCTCAGAACTCCGTCATTTATTAACCGATTTGGACAATTTTTGTGTTGTTTGAAAGTGCTTACTTCCAGATTGGTCCCATTTAAATTTCAAAAAAGAAATACCACCCCTAAGGGTGGAAAAATTGCTAATGATGAATTTAACCTACTTCTAATTGTCATATAGACTTGAAACTTTGCAAGTGTTTCTATTTCCGTTGATAGTACAGTGGTTCGGTATTGTTGACCTGATCTGATGGTAAGGCCAGAAGGTGGATAGGTGGAACTCTTCGACGGCTATTAGTAGATACTTTGAGTTTGGGCTTATTTTGTTTGATTTGACAAGCCTAACACGTTAGAATTCTTACTTTGCTACTACTGTCTTCACTAAAAAGGGAAAAATAAAAACTTTTTAACAAAAAAATAAAAACCGACTTCAAACAAAAGCACTAAAAAGTAAAAAATAACTGATTGGTAGTTTTCATTTACTATACATACCTAATGAAATATTTTCGAAGTCGGTGTGCTTTGGCTAAGTAATTAAAGCCTACCTATTAAATACATACTAATCAAATATTTTTGAAATCGGTGCCAGCCCATACAAAGCAAAGCACACCGACTTCGAAAATATTTGATTAGGTATGTATAGTAAATGAAAACTACCAATCAGTTATTTTTTACTTTTTATTGCTTTTGTTTGAAGTCCGTTTTTCGCCTATCACTACATAGTATAAAACAAAGAAGCTTTCTCTGTCCCTAAATCCCTATGTATACTTAAATCTTAAAAACTACGCAACGGATTTTGATGCGGTTGTTTTTAATAGATAGAGTGATTTAAGAGGAAGGTTTATATGTATAATACATGCATATTATAGTACAGAAACGCCGAGAAATTCAAAGATTTGTATTTCTTATTAACCGTTAAAATGCATCTAGGTTAGTTTAGGCTAGTTTATTTTATATTTTTATACTTTTGAGTCGTCACCTTAGTATCTCCCGTGACTATATTCGCTTTAAAGCATTCAAAACATCGAGACACAAATTTAAAATAACACCGCGAAAAGAAATAAAGAAATAGTTGTAAAATGTCAAAAAATCGCGTACAACAGTATAATTTCTTTACTCCTAAAACATTAGTAGAACATGAAAAAGTATAGATTATCCACATATTCTAGTGGTAACGCGCTCGCTTGGGAAGCCGAGTGAAGTGGGTTTAAATCCCGGTTCTCGCACCTCTGATAATTTCATGTGCGAATCATTTCTAACATGATTACCACTTGCCGTACGGTGAAGGAAAACATCGTGAGGAAACCTGCATGTCTGAGAAAACCTAGCAAGTTTTCGAAAGACATGTGAAGTCCACCAATCCGCACTTGGCCAGCGTGGTGGACTATGGCCTGATTCTCCTCGTACTGAAGGGAGACCCGTGCCCAGCAGTGGGACGTTAAAAAAGGGCTGAATATACAAAAACATATGTACCGAGGCTTATATAACATTTTCTCCACAGATAAAAACTCTCCGTCTGGCAACTTCGTACATATCGTATCTCCTGAAGGTGTTGGAGACGGATGGAGAGCCAGCAGGAGGGTTCAGGGCTGAGCTTCATCACACGCCGCCTAGACGGAGAAATGCTGAACATAATTCACAGGTAAATAAATATTATTTTTAAAGTTTTTCTTTTGGCGCGTTATAAAAAAATATTATGCGAGTAATTTTACGATTCGACAGATTTAGACTACAGTATGAAGTTAGTCGTTATTGGCTACAGTGTTAAATTAGTCCTGGTATCTGTCTGTAATCAAATCTTGCCTTAGATATTTTTTTTATTAAAGGTTTTTGCGCGGAACCCTTTTTCTCTAAAATAAAATTAAGCCTAATTTACTCTTTATAACGTAAGCTATCTAGCGGTGAAAGTCCCGTCAAAATAGGTTTATATAGCATTTCGGAGATTAACCGGAGCAAACAGACAGACATACAGACAAAAATTTTAAAAATTGTTTTTTTTTCTTAGAAGTATCGTATATAATTTCATATGCATTTAGTAAAAAGCTTTTATTTTGTCATTACAAACAGACACTTCAATTTGGTTTTGATTAGATTAATATATATCTACATATGGAAAGCTAAGCAAAGCCAGTGGTAAAAGCTAGTTATAGTTCCATAAAATCAAGCAAAACCACAGCAATAAGTTATATTATAACAGTGCATAGATTTATTTCAATACCACTTGAGATCTTTCTCAAGAGAATGCATGTGTTTCAAGTACGGAGGCGCCGGACAGACGGACGGGTTATCTATGTTACTTTATATATATTTAAATTATAAATTTGAATATTTGTCTATTGATTACCCTATTATCTAAACTACTACTATTATGAGGAAAGATTTGTATTTTTCTATTTTTGTATGTTCGTAACGAAAAAACTCAAAAACTACTGGATCGATTAAGATGAAATTTAGTAAGAAGATAGTTTGAGACTCTGGGAACATAGGCATAAAAGTTTGTATGAGAAATGAACCTATTTTTCATTTTTCATAATTTGAATACAACTTTGCATATCAGTTACATGAGATATTTATCTACTGAATGTATCGTAAAATTAGTATGGATTCAAAATTTATTATAGGTAGTTATGTATGTATGTTTGTATAATCAAATATTTCTCTCTAACTTTATCCCAACATTTTATAGGGCCATGTGTTTCTGTTATTAGATTAGATGTAATAAAGAGCCATCTGGTTTGTGGCCAGATAAAAGATCCGTATTAAATTAACATTATTAAATATACTTTAGGTGTAGTGGTGTAACGTACAAAATATGTAACCTGTTCGATTCTCGGTAAATATAGGAGAAATAAGGAAATATGTTGGTTTTTTTGTTTGTTAGCCATTTGATCTTTGGAGCTAATAATCTGATTGGATTATTTTTTTTGTATTTAATCTTATAATATTAGATGAGCAATTCTTGTATATTTATATAAAGAAACATCATCCAAATTCGTTTAGCAGTTCGCTAGATTAGCGTAAACGTATGTATGTACTCGTATATAGAGACAAATGTTCGCCGGCTACTTTCATTTATATTTAACTGGCGACTCACCCTCGGCTTGCTCGGGTTCGTCCCTAGCTACGTTTTAACTAGTAAAACTCAAACCTTAGTCTTTCCCGTTACCATGATTGCTGTAAAGCATTCGAAAAGTCGGGAACCAAAAATTAAAATAAATCAGAAAAGATAGATTTATTTAAAATGTCAAATATTCGCGTAATCTAAGACTGAAAAAAATCATTTTATTAGACTATTATTTACTAGCGACTCACTCTCGCTTCACTTCATGTGACAAAATCATCCCACGGGAACCACTCATTTTTCCGGGATGATATGTAGCTTATAACCTTCCTCAATAAACAGACTATCTAATGTAAAAAGAATTTTTCAAATCGGATTAGTAGTTCCTGAGATTATCGCTTTCAAACAAACTAACAAACTCTGCCTCTTTATAATATTAGTATAGACTAATGACACACCCTTGCTTCGCTCGGGTTCGTCCATTCCTTCCTAGGTCCTTTTAATTTTTTTGAGCGGAACCCTAATACTTTTACTGAAATAAAAGTAGCCTAAGTTACTCCTTATAACATCAACTACCTGCCAGTGAAAGTCTCGTCAAAATCGCCCCAGCCGTTTCGGAGATTAGTCAGAACAAACAGACAGACAGACAAAATTTTAAAATTGTGTTTTTCTTATAAATACCGTATATAATTCCATATTATGCATTTAGTAAAAAGCTGTTATTTTGACATTACAAACAGACACTTCATTTTTATTTATCTGTATAGATTATGTCGTGCGCAAGCGAAGTCGCGGGTGAAAAATAGTTTTTCATAAACACATTATTTTTAGTAGAACCAAACATAATTTATCAGGATATAGGTCAATTTTTTACCTGTTTGTTTATATTTCGTATAAACAAGTCTTTACAATTTCCTGTTAATGGCCATCTGGTTTTTTTAAGGCACGCGATAAAAATGTGCGCGTCTAGCGACTGGACCCAGACTCTTTTCTGCTAATGTTTTATTTATATAACTTTAGTTAATTATACAATTAAAAGTTACCTAGTGTTTAACTATCTATATTAAATTTTGAATTCATACTAATTTGACGACACGTTTGGCTCAGTTCGTAGTGACCCTACTTGCTGTGCCAGCGGTAGCGGGTTCGAGTCCCGCTGCATTAATTTGTGTGATGAACACGAATGTTTGTTTTTACACCAGTCATGGGTATTTATATTTATAATATGTATGTATTTAACTGCCGCGGTGGTGTAGCGGCTAGCATGTATGGCTGCAAACCCGGAGGTCTTAGGTTCGAGTCCCGAGTCGGTCCAAGTTCAGTTATTGAGTGTTTCTGTATAGTAAGACAAAAATTCTAAAAACTATAGATTCGGACTCTGTATCGATAATAATGTCTATTTCAATAAGATTTTCCAAAAAATATTTAATGTACAGATCCGACTTAGTTACAATTTTATTATATGTATAGATTCGGAGTTCTTACAGTTTTCAATTGGGTTGTAGCCATTCACCCATCAATTAACATACGTACTTTATATGACCTGTCACAACAAGACTCCCCATACATTGTGTATGGCGACATCAACATGTGACGTCACTCTTTTCCAAACTCAACTATTTTCTGATTTCAAAGCATCTAAAAATTTTATTCCATTAAAAATTTATATTTTTTTAGCTTTCTTGAGCTTATATAATATTATATTGAAAATCACCTACAGATCTATCCCACGGGAACCGTTCATTTTTCCGGGATAAAAAGTAACTTGTTGTTTGATCGGCAATATATCAGCATGCCAAATTTTACTAAATTATTTGCATAAGTTGTTGCGTACTAAGCTATATAAGTTATTATAGTTTTTTAACTATCCCACGGGAACTATTTAATTTTCAGGGATGAAAAGTATCTAAGATGTTGCCCGGGGACATAAGGTACCACCATGCAAAATTTCATTTAAATCGGTCCAATACATTCGGAGATTAGCCCGTACAAACAGACAGGGAAACAAAAAATTAGAAAAAAATCTAGATTAGTTCTATTAGTCTTCTTACATCTCCCTGACTCGGTTTTTAGCATTTTTTGTCTATGTACAGACATTCGACCTCTACAGTTTTATTATAGTATAGATTTGGAAAATAAGCAAAATCGAATGCAAAGCTTCCTCTTATTGATTAGAACAAGAGATCAACTGTCTTTTTTCGAGCTTTTACCTCACATGTTGTTAATAATGTAAACGATATTCCTAAAAACGGTTCGTTTCGACATTTTTTTTACTCTACAAGTTTTTTGTTTCAACTTTAAATAGCTGTGAAATTGATATTTAAATTTTTACTTTGTTACATGTTAAATGTTCTAATGGGATATCGCAGTGCTATTATAAATACGAAATTTGTATGTGTGTATGCTTCTTACTCTTTCACACTGAAAGGGCTGGACTTTTAAACAAAAGTTTTATACGTTTGGCGGTCTTTTTCGAACACATTACCTTACATCTATACTAATATTATAAAGAGGTAAAGTTTGTCAGTTTGTAACGTTGTAGGCTTTGTTTGTTTTGTTTTGTTGGTTTTGGAAGGTTGTAGGGTTGTAGTAATCTCTGGATCTACTGAACCGATTTAGATGAAATTTGGTAAGAAAATAGTATGAGACCCTGGAAAGGACATAGGATACTTTTTATCCCGGAAATCATTCCTTAAGGGGTTGAAAATGAGGATGAACGTTAGTATGGGGAATCAAGCTAGGGACGAACCCGAGCGAAGCGAGGGTGACTCGCTAGTCCAGATATAAATAGGTAAATTGAAGTAGTCAATTGATCGTATCGTTTTCCGGAACGAACCAAGTATCAAAATGTAGATAATTCTATAACAAATTTCATGATATAGGATTGTCATACCAAAATATCTCCAGACTAGAGGTTTTTTTAGTAAAAAATAGCTAGGAGCAAATTTTTGGTGAGCTTCCCTCTGGGGCGTGTTTGTTTATATGTTTTATGGTTTAAAAAATATATTTCGCCTGGAAAAACTGGGGTTTCGACGACGTAGATCGAGATCTTAGAGACTATATTACCTTCTTTTTAAATATTTACCATTTTAATTAAATATTGTTTTTTTTTCAGAATAATGCATCTGAGAAAAAAGGTAAAGGACGAACTGGCTGGCCCCAACATGTTTGGGCTCTAGAATTGAAAAGTGAACAGAACCTGCAAACATAGCATGTATTATATAAATTAATAATTTCATAGCTTAAGTATATAAATAATACATATAATAAAATTATTACATAATAGCTGTATATTTAATATTTTAAATTTCTGAAAATCATCGATCAAAAAAGTATTTACTAGATACACAATCCCATGCAAAAGTTCTCTTATAATCTGTCACCAGTTCAGGAAACAATTCTAGTTTAAATACTATACAACAATGTAAATTGAACCTTAAATGCAATGCTTAAAGTTGTTTTCACAAAAAAATAAATTAAAAGTGCGTTCAAATGTTCCGGACTACCAATGCTCTCTCACACGCTGGACTATACATAATATCTCCTGCAGTTGGCTAGTCTCAGTGAGATTGGCCGCCATCATCACTATATATATATATATATATATATATATATATATATATGTCGATGGGTCAAATTAATTAGTAATCGTGGATTAAACAAAACTTATGGTTGAGGCTGCTTGTAGAAAAAAATGGCATGTAATCTTTACGCGCGGTTGAAGTAAAACTTTTTTGGCAAATATCGTAATTAAATTAAAACAAACCTATAATTAAATAAGGCATATTGGGTATATTACAATCATATATTTATAGAATATCATATACGGAAAGAATATAATATTATATATTTGTCAGACAATAATAACGGTTACCATGGCAACATACCAATATATTCTATCTCATTCTCTCGCCGGCCCAATCCTATGTATTTATGTGTTTGTCTCTTTTTAGTGTCGCATTTCCGTTTCATCGAGTTTTAAATTACAATGATTCTAAAGAAGTTTCACTTCAAAAATCGCAAAAAATTGTATATAATTTTAAAGAACCCATATTATGTATATACATATAAATTTAATTTAGTGATATATTTTTAGTATAAGTTCATGTTTTAACTAAAAAAATTAAGTCAATGGTTCTCAAACTTTGTTGTCATAATAAAATTATTAATTTATTTTGATTATATTTTAGTTTTAAATAATAGCTTTAGTCGAATTCTCAATAATGGTCTAAAGTTTGAGAAGGATGAGTTAAAATAAAATTTTTAGTTGCTGTTTGTATGTTGTTTGACCGACTTGTTCCGTTTGTTTAGTTTAATGAATAATTTGAATTTGAGAAAATATTTTGTCCCTAACTGTAAAATTACTTTCATAGCAATAAAAATATATAAAAAAACTAATTTCTCACTCTCATATTATTTTAAAAAAATATTTAAGCCATGAATTCTTTACAATCGGCAAAGATACAAAAAACACACACCTTTTCAAAGTCGGTTAATTATTTTTTTATTTACATAAATTGAGAACCAATTCTGTATAGTTTTATATCTCTACTAGTCTGAATATGTACTTTTAATTAGAATTAAGTAAAATTGATTTTAAAGCCAAATAAATAATGTGCCAAAGAAATAAATTATGTTTTAAGGTTTAAGATTGTTTTCTTTACACAAACAAACAGACACGTATTTTACAGTCATTATATTATAATAGCTTACTAGAGACGTCCTTTTATCTATGTATGTATTCAGCCCTTTTTAACGTCCCACTGCTGGGCACGAGCCTCCCTTCAATACGAGGGGGATCAGGCCATAGTCCACCACGCTGGCCAAGTGCGGATTGGCGGACTTCACATGTCTTTCGAAAACTTGCTAGGTTCTCTCAGACATGCAGGTTTCCTTACGATGTTTTCCTTCACCGTAAGGCAAGTGGTAATCATGTTAGAAATAATTCGCACATGAAAATATCAGAGGTGCGAGACCCGGGATTTGAACCCGCTTCACTCGGTTTCCCAAGCAAGCGCGTTACCACTGGGCTACCACTGCCTTATCTATAGGTACATATAATAAAATTCGAACTGACCCGAATCTGTACATTAAATATTTCTTGGAAAATCTTATTGAAATAGTCATTATACAGCGGCCGAATCTATAGTTTTTTAGAATTTTTGTCTGTCTGGGAACTCATCACGAGAAAATTACTAGACAGATTTTGATTAAATTTGGTATGATGATAGCTTGTTATCCGGGTCCCCATATATGATATTTTTTACTGCGGGAAAATAACTCATGTCTGAGAAATATATATTCAACGTTAAAACGTAACTAGGGACGAACCCGAGCGGAGCGAGGATGAGTCTCTAGTAATTTCAATAAATATGTTTAAAATACTAACCTTTTCCCGCGGCTCTACACACGTAGATCAATTTTATGTATTGCTATATCTAATAAAAATTATAAGTTATATGTTTTCATCAATATCTGCTCAGTAGTTTTTGCGTGAAAGTGTAACAAAAATCCATACATCCATCCTCACAAACTTTCGTATCTGCACCTGTTAAAAAAATGGAGAAGGCCTTTACCCTACAGAGGGGTTTTCATTCAAATAAATACCTAAATAAAATTATAAATAAAATATCAAATAAACAAAGAGAAAATAAATGAATAATTAAATAATAGCAATCTAAATTAATATTTTACCTTCTTTTAAATCTATACTAATATAATAAGGAGGTAGAGTTTGTGAATTATGAGTTTGTAAGTTTGTGATGTTGTAGGGGGTAATCTCTGGATCTACTGAACCGATTTAGATGAAATTTGGTAAGAAGATAGTTTGAGACCCTAGGAAGGACATGGGATACTTTTTATCCCGAAAATCATATCTTAAGGGGGCGAAAATGGGGACAAAAGTTTGTATGGGGAATCAACCTAGGGACGAACACGAGCGAAGCGAGGGTGGGGTTAGTCGCTATACAAAAGAAAGTAACTAGTAATTAATAAAGTTTTTTTAAAATTGATTTATTTATAATAATAACAGCTAAAATAATATAAATAATATTGCTATATTTAATTATGATAATATATTTTTTTAAATGTTTAGAAATAAAAATCAATAAATATTGTAAGGTACTTTGGTGCCATTTTTGAAATCATTTTTGTAAAATAGTGGGTAGGCACTGTCTGTAACAAGTATGTGTTTAAGACGTCTATAACCTTTGTCTCTCCCGTGACCATGATTGCTGTAAAGCATTCGAAACGTCAGGAACCAAAAATCATAATAAATCTGCGAAATAATCCGAAAAGATAGTTTTATTTAAATATAATCTATTTCTGTGCCAAATTTCATCTAGATCCGTTCAGCCGTTCTGGCGTGAAAGAGTAACAAACATCCATACTCACAAACTGTCACTGAAAAGAATTTATTTATATACTAGTGATTTACCCACGCTTCGCTCGGGTGTGTCCCTAGGTACGTGCACATAACATTGCTACGGTTTAATAGGAAGATCTTTTTAAGAGGAACAATTCTGTAATACTTTGTTTTCATATTAACTTTATTATTTTACGCGGCGCACGCCAATAAAGCTCCCAGTCGGCATGAATTTTTCCGACATCTTCAACAATCATCGTCATATTTTAGCCAATTTACACAAAACCTTAGTAAATTATACGCTTAAAACCTAAACAATGTGAACAACGTGAATTATACATTTAAATTTGTTGAAAACCGTGTGAAAATCCGTTCGGTAGTTTTGGAGTTTATCGCGTTCGGACAGACAGACAGACAAGGCGGAGGACTTTATTTTACAATATATTATGTACGTATGCAGTGTTTTTAAAAAGTGACTGCTTCCAATTTTGTTTAACCCCCGGCGCAAAAACGATAGATAGTGTTATAAGTTTATCGTGTCTGTCTGTAGCATCGTAGCTCCTGAACGGATGAACCGATTTTGATTTTGCTTTTTTTTATTTGAAAGGTGAATTAGTCGGGAGTGTTCTTAGCTATGCTTGATGAATCTTGGTCCAAGATGGCCGCCGCCACAAAATGGCGGATTACATATTTTTCACAACTCCCTCAATATGGGTATCAAATGAAAGAGCTTTGACTAGTAGAATACTATGATAAATTTCAAATCCAAGATGGCCGCCACCACAAAATGGCGAATTACATGTCGGGTTTTTTTTTATTTTTAATTTAATTTAGTTATATTTTATTGATAACATTAAAGACCTTAAGACTTAACAACAAAAAGATAATAGGTTGACAAACAGAGAAGAATAATGTATTGAACTATTTAGTCTTTGCCTATTTATAAATAGATTTTTTGGCAGAGTGCATGCCTAAGTTTTTTTTTAAAACAGTGCATGTTTTTTGTTAAATCTATTTCGAGTTTACAGGTTGTACAGTTTATCGGTAGTTTCCGTTGTAGGGGCCATGTGCTCGGGAGCGTGTGCTGAGTAGGGTGACCAGCCATCCTGACATAAATTATATATTTTTTTTCAATCAATATTTATTGATCCTCGCGTCGCTCGGGTAATCGAAATGCCCTTGGTACTTTTTAATGTTTTTGAGCAGGATCCTAATTCTTTTTCTAAAATAAAAGTAGCCTAAGTTACTCCTTATAACATCAGCTATCTACCAGTGGAAGTCACGCCAAAACCAGCCGTTTCGGAGATTAATCAGAACAAACAGACAGACAATATTTTTTTTCAATTGTGCTTTTCAGTCACTTTAATTTTATTTATATGTGTAGATAAAGGAAATTCATTGAAATTATAAATAATTATATACAGAAGTAAATGTACACTTAATTATTACCGCACAAGTATATATGTATGTACATATCCGCGTGGAATTCTAGCAAGAATGCTACCCGCATTCCCAAGCAGGAAACCGATTAAAGAATGGCGAAGATTAAATGGAATCGAATAGCTTTTATTACAAGTTTTTTTTTATTATTATTAACTTATAATATTCGTATGTAAGTAAATTGTCCCTTTCAAATTTTGCAAACTAGTTCTCAAAAACTTCTTGGTATCAAACTGAGCTGAAATTTTATTTACTTATGTCATTTTGGAGACAGTGAAATAATATGGTACCATCGAGGTGATCTGATGGAGCCGGTATGTGGGGACTGGGAATCCCTAATGGGATATGGTAAAACAGCCGAATTTGAGATGTGTTTATTTTTATTTTACATTCTTCTAATAAAA